GTAAGGCTATAGTAAGGCATGTTTGGTGATATTTTGAAATATTCAGATAAAATGTTTTGAAGTTTTTAGCACTAATTCTTCACTTGGCAGCATGTTTTACGGCATTAACTTGCGTCTGTCTCTGATTGCAGCAGTGAGCATTCACAGCTGTCACTCAACATCTTCAGCTCCTCAACACCTTTCAACAGCAACTCTTTCTTCACACCCTCATCAGGCCAAGACTCCTGTTGTCTGAAGACATGTGCTTAAACATGTTTCATAAATTTTACCTTCCCAGGGCTCCAAGTTTTGTGATAATGGAGTAATAATATACACAGTATATACGTATAGACCTGCTGTCTTATACAAAAATAATGTTTCAGGAGTAAAGGCAATCAATCGACACCTGCTGTCTTATACAAAAATAATTTTTCAGGAGTAAAGGCAATCAATCGACAATTTGTTGAAAATCTGTGGATAAACACAGAAAAATTGAAAATGAAACTGGGCAGCATGTTCAGAAAAACAGGCAGGCACATACACTGAAACCGTATCTTAGAAACCAAGGCAAACACTTTTGAATAACCTACTGTTGACAGCTGTCCTTGAGAGGAAAAAAAGGGGAATATAGACAGTCATTTCAACAGAAGACAAAAAAATACTGTTACAAGCACCCGACTCAAAATTCTGTAAAATTATATTTATGAAAAAAAAAAAAAATTGTTCCTGCAAATTTAAGTTTTTAAACTGAGTGGATGAACTTCTGTTGCTATGTTCGTATCTCGTCAGCAATTTGCTGACCTGTCGCTGAAGATGTTGAGTGACAGCTGTGAATGCTCATTGCTGCAATCAGAGACAGACGCAAGTTTCTGCCGCAAAACAAAAAAAAGTCCCAGAAATGTTGTTCATTTTTTTGCTATATTTTGCGATATAGTGAAAATTTCGTGAAATCGGGTTAAAAAATGTGTTTGTGATGTACTAAGAGGTTCAAAAGGACAACCGTGATATAGAGAGAGAAAACTGTATTTTAAACACATTAAACTACTGTTTATTAAAAGAAAGAAAAAAAAAAAACAACAACAAAATACCAGGGGTGGGGTTCAGGTTTACGTTGAGGGTTAGGGTTAGAGTGGGGGGAGTGGTCCGAGTGCCCTTTATGGAGCTTGGCTGTGGAAAAGCACTGACCCTGAGGTTAACAGCTTTAGTTTATTCACCAAATGAAGCATCAGTCAAGCATGAAATCTTAAGAGCAAAAATGGGGAATCTTAGATTTAGTGCTGTTGACAGCTATATAAGGACAAGAGGTCACCTTGTCTGCACCAGTGGAGACATGGACGCTGACACTGGTGGAAAGGTTTTTCTTTTCACAAGTTTTGATAATTGCAGATCCACGTAGCAAAGTGGTGGAACACACCATTGACCCACAGCTAGAAGATATTAGTATATACACCAGATGAGTTGTTTTGTTCTGCATGCTTCAAACGTGTTTATATTACGTGTCTGCTGGTACTTCAGTTTCCCTCGTACAGATTGGAAATGAGGTCAATTGAACGTTATAAATGTTCCTTTGGTGTAAACGTGAGTGTGAATAGTTGAATGTCAGTATCCTTGTCCTTGTATTGGACTGATGTCCGGCCCAGAGTGTACCACTTCAGTTTCCCTTGTGACTAAAATGAATGAATGAATTGTCATGGTCAATTACGCCCAAACCCTCCTATCAGATCCTCCCTTGCATTCAACTGCATTACTTTCTCCTGGTCAGGCAGCTGCAGCTGAGCAGCCTGCAGCTGCAGTTTATTGGCTCTCAGTCACTCACCTCAGAGCTGGTTCTGACCCAGTTCTCCTCAGATCCCTGTCTTTTGATCTTGTCAACCTGTTTTGTCCATTAACCTTGTTTACTGTTTGCTAGCCTTTCTCATTACTCACTTCCTCTGGTGTCGAGCCCCTTCAGTGAGACCTCGCTATAAAGCTAACATTGCTAGCTTGTTGGAATATATATGTATATAGAAAGACATTTAATGCTGCTAAATGGTTGTTATTTTATAGCACATTTGTTTATTTGTTTATTTGTTGATTTCCTTACCCGTTTCAAAAGTACAGTACAAAGTTATTTGTTGATTTCCTTACCCGTTTCAATATGTATCACTTCTCTTACCACACACGTTCTCGATAACTTTGCTGGCCCAGAATTCCTGGCAGCGTCCCTGCCTGCATCCACCTGTCCCCACTCACTTGTGTCTTGTTAACTCCTTTGACCTTAGCGTTTGACCCAAACTAGCCTCGCATTTTTGTACCCCTAACGGTTATGAGTATATTTCTTCAGTATAGTTAGAACATAAACCCGGGACAATTCATGGTTTATTTAGGAACAGCAAGATTTATTTAAACAGTAGGTAAAATGCTATATTTGTTTTAAATGTTGTATGAAGGGCTGGACCAATATTTAAATGAGATGTAAATATAACTATTTAAAAGATAAATAGTTATATAAAATAAATATTTAAACAAAGTACCTGATTATGAATTTCTTTCTTCTTAGGGCAACCGTATGTGTCCACTACAGAGGACCCCTGGCTTGGACTGATGAAGGTAGATGGAAAAGGTAAGATTATTTTCTCCTTTTTGTAGCTTCTTTCACCAAATCAAAGGCAACATTATTAATTCAAACTGCATTCACTTAGTTTCACTGATTAAAAAAAAAAATACTCCTAGAAAAGTAAATAAACATGGTGCATGGTCCAGCCCTGCTCCCGAAGTTATGACCGAAGTCAAGAAAACACAAGTTTAGATGAAACAGATACGTTAAAGAGAAATTATATTTTTTTTTTATCACCCCGGAAGTTAAACCTTCCACTGGTGAATTTGCATGCAAATCTCTCCGTACATACAACAGATAGCTCAACTTGTATGAAAGCAGCTTAAATGAACAACGGTACGAACAACCACAATCAACACCTTATCTGACCTCAATGAAAGGACAAACGAGAATCCAAAGACCGGTCTCTTCCCGTGTAAAAACGACTTACAATTAAATTACATGATTGTGCTTTTAAAACCAACGTAGGACAAAAAAAAAAAAAAATACAAAGACAATGTACATCACTTATAAAACATTAACATTGATCTATAAAATTTGAATTAGAAGCACTTTTGTGGCGGTTCAACAAGTTCAACGGTACAAAAGATGGCTGGCAATAATGAGACATCAACCACAGTAAATTAACAACACTAGTGAAGGGGGAATATTATGGTAAAGAAGTCCACATGGACGACACGTCTGCAGACACTCACAACAGCCATTTAATGTGCATTTATCTGACATGAGCGAGCCACTGGTGCTTCAGGCAGCCGGTCGCCCAGAAATCAAACAATAAACAGTGCATAAAACTGACGTCTACACATTTATTCTCGAGGGCACCTCTCTTTGTCTCGTATTCCAACACTTAATTAAAAAATGTGAAGTAGAAAATCAAAGCTTGTAGTGAGCAGTATTTGTTTTTTCCCCCTCATATGGTATACTTATTTTGCCTGGAGAAACTTGGCGGTTGATCCTTGTGTGTTTAAGTGGTTTTTAGCTTTTCAGGACCTGTAAAAAAAAAAGAACAATGTTATTTTAGTAGAGTTTCGCACCATCGCTTGCTTCACTGTTTAAGACAAAATGTCGTGGGTAGTCATATTTCAGCCTTTTTATCCTGTTTCCTTCAACAGATGTTGCTCAACTCTTCCTAGACCACATGTTCAACAACGGACCGGCTGGTGACTGGAATGGGTCGCGTGTTGGCGAGAGCAGTAAGGACTTATTCCAAGACGATCATTTAGGTGAGTCGAGCAAGATTTTTTTTTTTTTTTCTGCATGTAGCTATTGTAGTTATCGCAGCTGTTTCCTGTCATACAACTGTTTGTTTAGTTTGACAGGGCATGTGGTAGATAAGAATTATGTTTCAAAAACTTAAAGTTAGAATTAATGGTCTTTCTGTCTTTGTAGTTAAAAGCCCTGGTCTTGATATTGAAATTATTACACATTTTATTTCAAGACAAGGTTAAAAAAAAAGAGAGGTTGTGTAGTGTTGTTATTGTTACGACTTAAATAACCCCTAAAAGTTGTGCAGTGTTGTTATTGTTACGACTTAAATAATATAACCTTCATACAAAAATAGAGACATCGAGGGTAGTTTGGCAGAGTCATTTTATTTTTATTGAGGCAGTTTAAAGGAAATCAAAAATTGGCAAAAATCACATAACAATAATCATAAAATGGCCAAATAATTGCGACTGATGCATTTCTATGAGGATTCCATTTATTTGTCTTTCTTTAACTAAATTGATTAAGAAATAACATAGTCATAATAGCATTTTACAGACAGCCACAACAAGTATTTGCATTTACCCTTTAGTTCTGTCCTTTTGATGCTACCTGGCCTCCTTGTTTGGTCTGTGAGTCGCCACATGACATTAGAGTGGATGAGTCGGAATTCTCAGTCTTCCCTAATGGGAACGAGGGACGACTGTACAATAGTATGTCCCTGAATTCTTAAAGAGACAAGAAAAGAAAGACTTCATTACTAATTTAAAAACGTTTGAGCAAAGTAAAGTGCCTGTTAGAACCAGGGCCGTACCTGAGTGCTGTCGGCATTTGTTACTCTCTTTCCTTCCCAGCGGAGTCTTGTGCTTGTCCTGTCCCACGGTGGATGTGTCCTCTCCATCCCTGTGAGTTTCACTGCTCTTTCGTCGACCTTGTGGCTCCCCAGACCCCATTCGAGGCAGTGTGGCCCCCCTTGCTTTAAAGTCACTGTGGGACATCTGGCTGGAGAAGTTCAAAGGCATGCAGGAGTCTGGGGTCGCAGGGAGGAAAACAAGGGTAAGTAAATAAGGTGTACATTTTTAGTTGAATAGGAATTGGATAGATGGAGGGAGGGAGGGATAGAGGGATAGATAGATAGATAGATAGATAGAGGGAGGGATAGATAGATAAATAGATAGATAGATAGATAGATGGATAGAGGGATAGATAGATAGATAGATAGATAGAGGGAGGGATAGATAGATAAATAGATAGATAGATAGATAGATGGATAGATGGATAGATGGATAGATAGATAGATGGATAGATGGATAGATAGATAGATAGAGGGAGGGAGGGAGGGATAGATAGATAGAGGGAGAGATAGATAGATAGATAGATAGAT